AGCATCGTACGATGCTACTGGAATAAGAGTTGTGTAGTGTACAGATGTACACTATAGTGTACGATACCTTGTGGGCTGTAGCCCGCTATATCAGTGAATCTGACAGACACCGTAACGAAACCATGTATGGGCTTTACGATCCGGGTTGTAATTACCGGACCCCAATTATGCGTGGTTTTATTTTCATTTTGAAACGTTAAAAAACGAATATAAATATTCCAACCACCGCCTCTTTGAATTTTTCATTTGATAGGTTTTTTAACTGTTTTACAAATTTATCCCCCTTTTTAGTCTCTTTCTTGGATTTTCTCACTACATCGAATGTGACTCGTTTGTCGCTAATATCAGAATGCGTGGTTCCTACTACTTTGTAATTGTTAGCCATGAAGACTGTCCCATTTTTGAACTTGCGCAGCCAGGTGCACCCAAAACATCAGAACAAAAGGTTCGTCTTTATTTACCTGTTTAAAAATTTCAGATTGATTTAAATTATCTAACCCAGTTCGTTGCTCACGCATCTCTGGACATGGTTGATGAAAACATGTGGAGCACGACCTCGACCTATTTAAAAGTGGTTGATAGGTTCAACGAGTGGCTAGTTTCAGCCTTCATCACGCCGACAGATATCCTTTTTTCCTAATTGGCATCTTATTTAAAATGTTTGTCAGCCTCACTCTTCCCCTTTGCCTCTGGGATTTCAAAATCAATTGTTTAATTGTAGACGCAGTAAGTTGTCTTATATGAGCCCACTCCAATTATGGCTAAATGATTTTAATGGTCTGTTCCGTCGGTTACTATCACCATTGCAAGCCGTGCCCGAAAGACCCCCCTTGTATATGGGATTGAAGGCGGTTCGTGGCGGTTTGTAGTAGAGTTGCCGCGCGCATATACATTCAGCATTATACATAACACTGTTAATCTCCGTGTCTGTATAATGCATTCATCGCACAATTAACAGTTATAGTTCTTGTCATATGGTTCATATGTCACTAAGGTGACCTCCAAGGCACAACGGAACATATATTTTCAGTAACTAAATTGGATATTCCCACACTATCATACATGGGGAATGATATTACTGATAAATTCAAAGAATGGCATGTAAGCCGTCATCAGCCAGCTAAACCCAGCCCCAAATATCGCTGCACCTGATGCTCGAACACGTGAACTATTCGTTAGAAGTCCAACGCTCCAACCCACTATGCCGGTTTCGGGCGGGAATGTTAACAATGATGGGCGGTCGCTCGCTGAAATCAAGTGCAATTTCCAGTATGTGACCCGAAATTGCAATGGAGGCGTGACTCGCAGACCATCAACTGCTGTGGAATAATCGCGTAATGCCTATTCTAAGAGCATGTATTATACATTTCCTAGGATAAAGGCCTTGGCTTACTCCCGACGTAAGTACTAGCCTAGCGCCAAGACGCGTCTCCAGCGGTGGTTATGCTGCTGTACGATGCAATTGTACTTTTTTGTATTTGATACGGGTGTGATCATGCCTGATCTAGCCGGCCTCGATGATTTCACGGACGGTACCTCTCCATGCGTGACGATTGGCGCAGCGCATCTGGGAAGCTCTACGCATTCTCTTTTCCAGCGATGGAAACCGATAATCGAAAGTCCACGCATCGCTTCCATGTCTTGAAGATCGGTGTCGAGCCCTCCTCTTCGACACCTCTAGGTG